CCACGTACTTGCTTGCTGCCTCACCGCGGCTTTGTCCTCGAGCGTGCTTGGGGCGAAACAGTCGGCGCAGAGGGCCGAGAAATACGACAGCAAGCTCGACAGCGTCAGCTCGTTCATACCATTTTCGTGGCTGGAGATGAGAATGTCGGCCCGTGAGTGAGCAAGCCCGCGATGCCGTTACAACTTTGCAGAAAATTTGGACTAGGACACGAAATTTTCTAAAGGCTGTTCTTTTTTTGCAAATTTGTGTTGAGCATTTGCTTTCTGTGAGCGTGCAGTGTCGGCGACAAAGGCTTGTCAGAATGCAGATATATATTGCCATCAAGACATGTAAAGAGCATGCGGACCGAGACGGATCTGGATGCCGTTGGGTATAAATTTGGTTTTCATACCGCGGTCTGAGTTGCATGGGGTTTTCGAAACGCCTCACAAGGGCAAGCAAGCTTTGCCTCAATGGCGGGTTTTCCCTTCCCTTCATAACGTTGGAGGTTCAATTGCTCCAGAAACCTGCAAGTCGACTATCTTGCATCTGACTCAATGCCAACCAGCTGGGACAGAGATGACTTGGTGGGTGAACTTTTAACAGTGTCCTGGGGTCGATGCTTGCATACAGCCAGGTTTCGCTGTTCATGGCTCGCTGTTCATAGCTGTTCCTACGTGTGCGTAAAAACCCCAACCAACTATTGAACAGGCTGCAGATGCCAAATGATGATGTTGGCTTGGCTCTTAGGGTTTACGGGTTCGAGATGACAGTGACTCGAAATTGACAACTTCGGTGTTGGAACATGCGCTTGCACATCGTCAGCACTCACCTGTTCAAAACACTTGCAAGTGCAAGCGTGTTTTTTGACAGCAGCCCGGTCGGCGTTGGGAAGCTGGACAACTTAGCTCGCATTCTTGTTAGGCCGAGACACGTCGCAAGTTGCTGGGTGCTAGGTGGGTTGGACGTGCATGGGTCGCGAAGATGCCAATGGTGGTCGTCATTTTGGTCGAAGCGCCGTCGGTATGCGGGAAGAAGCCACGGGCAGCCGGAGGCGATGACGGCAATGATGCTCGAGGTACGGGGTGGAGATGAGCAAGTTGCTCACCCATCACAAAACGGCCGCAGGTTGCCAACCTTTTAAAGTGACATCCTGGCTTTGGTTTTGGCCGGCGCCGCAGCAAAGGAGTCCTCCCAGCTGCGGCAGTGCATGCTTGCACCCGCAGCTCGGCTTCGGCGGAGACGTGTGCTAGCACATAGGCTTTGCATCAAAGCAAACATGCAAGCTGCAAGAGCGAGGCAACTTCGATGTTCCTCGCGTTGGCGACCAGGACGTCGACGTTGAGATTAGCCAGGTGCTCATGGAATCATCATATTGCATGTGACCTTTGCACCTTTTGGCAATTTGGACGACGGCGTGCGTGTTCCGGCGACCCGCTTCAAGTATGATCGTACCGTTTGGGTTGTGAACCGGCCCGAGCCTTTTGCTTTTGGATCTCATGCACTATTTCCATGAAGTCTTGGTTGCACATAAAAGGCGCCTGCCAACCGTTTGCCACCTGGCTATTCGCTTTCGCCACCCCAACATGCGTTTGGCATCCTCCTGCTGCCGAATGCCGGCTGCTTGCGGGGAAAAAAAGAAAAGAAGGGCACATCACCAACAAGCGCCACCCAGCAAACCCTCTCCCATCATGACCGCTGCAAAACCCAAAGATTGTGGGCAGCTTGGCGCCGCTTGTAAGAACAAGAACAAGGAAGGCGTGGGTAACGCGGGAAACGATGTGGAAATTGCGGAATCACAAAGAAGCCTTTAAGCGGACGCCCCTTTACCACATCAGCAGCACAGTGGGCCAGTCTTTTGCGACAGAAACAACTACTTTGAGAGTCAAACTGTACAAGCCAACGAGCGTAAAAGAAGTCGTGACTGCAAAGAAGCAACCGCTAGCGCAGAGGCCCTTAATGCAAGACAACTTAACGCAAGGCCAGCGAGGTGAGACCAATGCAAACACGAACCTACCGGTACCAATCACTCAGCTGCCCGTTACCCACAGCAATGCTGCGCCACGTCTGGTACAGACATTAAGCGAAAGTATGGGTAGGCCGTAAGGCAAGGACATCCGTCACCGAAACTGCCCAACGCGTCCGTAGGGACAGTCCCCACACAGGCAGAGACCTTGCTGCGTTAACGCTTGGCGTTCTCGCTCTTACTGACCAAGGAAAGCGCGCAATAAGCAATTTCAGCGCAGTCGCTGCCCTGGCTGCAAAGTTTAGCAGGGGCACCGGCATGCTTGACCTGCAGGGTCCGTGTCATGCAAGTGACGCAGTTTAAGTTCCAAGTAACTTGTAACTGCCCCGCGCAGCAGCCGGTTTTCACTATCGCACACAGACCACAGAGAACGAAGGCTGGCACTGTTGGGCCTGCAGTCTTACAGGCGCGCCAGGCAGTTGCGCGGCAAAACATCTTCCGCGAAGCTGAAAAGGGCCAAGCAGAACCCACTATCCCAGAAACCTCGCCTTTGGAGAACGTTTGTGCAATTTGCAGAGACTGGCCAAGAGGGGGCCTTTTTGGCTTGCGGCTGCAGCGACTGCAAGCAGGCTGCTGGGCAGCCTGCAGCTTGATGCCACAGAGCCTGCAAGTAGGCTTTTTTTTTTGGACTGGCGCCTCTTTACTACATCAGTAGCACAGTAGGCCGTTCTTGTGGGGCTCGAAACTCGGTGCGAGACAAGGACATCTACTTTGAGAGCCAAACTGTACAAGCCAGCGAGTGAAAAAGAAGTCGAGACAACAAAGAAGCAACTGCAAGCGCAGAGGCCCTTAATGCAAGACAACTTTACGCAAGGCCAGCATGGTGAGACCAATGCAAACAAGAACCTACCGGCACCAATCACTCAGCAGCCCGTCACCCAAAGCAATGCTGCGCCACGTCTGGTACAGACATTAAGCGAAAGTATGGGTAGGCCGTAAGGCAAGGAACCTCCGTCACCTAAACTGCTCAACGCGTCCGTAGAGACAGTTCCCACCACACAAGCGCCAGGGCCGTCGCAATAGCACTCAGGACTCCATTGTAGATTGGCAAGAAACACAATGCACACAGAGTGCCAGAAGAGGCGCCCCCTTCCCCCCGACGAGGGGCAGACAAGGGGCTAGTGTGGCTACACTATGCTGCCGTCTGCGCTGTGTGCCGTGAATTGTGGGGATATCCCCCCACTAGAAGTCTAATAACCATAGACTCAACTAAGTCTAGTAACTATAGACTCAACTAGTGGGGGGGGATATTCCTCACAATTCACGGCCGCGTAGCGGCACGTGAATTGACTTCGGGCACATGTACCCAAACCCCGCCTTTAATGACCGCACAGTAAGGCCATACAATTAGGTGTACATGGTGAGCTGATTAAGTGGTTGTGTATGAAGCTCCCCAACACCTGCTGTGTTTTGCGGTGTGGTTGGTATACTACCCTCACTGCCCTCTGACGGGTTAGTACCTCATCACGGCTCCGCTTCCTCTCCCTCTGCACCTGCGTCGCTTGCCCCCTTAACCCCACCTTCCTTGCTCCCAGCTTTTCTGCCTGCCCGACACCCCCCCCCCACACATGCCCCGATCCACCCTGATAGTTATGGAGTGCGCTGCTCCCCCCTCCCGCTGCTGCTGCTAGTAATGGGGTGTTTCAAGGTCCCGCCTTGGAAATCTTTGCTGCCTGCTCCCGCCCTCCCGCCTCTTCTGCCACACCTTGCTCCAACCTTGGTGCCTGCACGAGCCCCCTCCCACTAGCTCTTGAGCAAGGGACAGGATTGTTTTCTGCCGGTTGCAAACTGACGCGATGGAGCCACCGCCCAGGCTCTATGCTGCAACTGCTGTCACAAGGTGAGGGCTAGAAACCTGAGCAGCAATCCATTTCCCAAATGCAAAGCCTGCCTCCTTCAAACCCGGCCACCACGCACACAGCTGCACGCAGACGAGCTTGCTAGGGCTTATCAACGAGACGCCTTTGCGAAGTCCCACAGCGCTAGGTGCATAAAATGCAAGTGAATGCAAGAAAACATTTTAAGAAAGAGATTGCTGAAGGAATTTTTGACACTTCCCACACCTTTACTGGCCCGGCACGCTGACACCAACAGGCAAGCCATTTTTGGTTTTCAATTGCTTTGTAACTTGGAAGGTCCAGCGTAACTGCTAAAGAACTACAGGGCGATTTCTAACCCACTACTCGGCCTTCAAAGCGTGCAGCGATGGAGCGATGTCACGGCTATGTGCCACGCACCTCGGAGAAGTTGTGGATGTCCGGGATGCTGGCGTCCACGCAGTTGTTCCAACTCTTTGGCGGGAGTTGTTTTCTCCGGGGGAAGTGCCCTCTGCCAATCTAATGTGTCTGACGTGGTGCGAAGCACTCTCCGTGGCAATTTTTTCAAATTTGTGAAAATATGACATTTCTTGTTTGCCTCGTTGCTTGCAGGCACATGTGTAGGACATGAGTGCTGTGACATGGCAAAGAACATGTTTTGTTTTGGCATGAGCATGTTTGCATAACATGTGCTTTGACTTGACATGTTTTGGTTTGCAAGTCCGATGATGAGTTTTGAGAAGCACAGAGAGGCTTTTAGCTCTCGGGAGTTGACCTGAGAGTCATCTGGAAGTGCTGAAACAAAGCTCTAAGGAACAGACTTTGGCCGTTACTCACTCCGTGTGCTTTGCCCCGTCGTTCGTACCGTGTCGTGACCGTTTGACACTCGACTGAGGCATTCTGAGAGCATGCTGTATGTTTTGCAACAGACCTGAAGTCCTGAACCAGTAACCAAGATGTTTTGCATGTTACTTTTGTCTTCTCCTTTGTTTAAACAAAGTTGAGATGTCGTTTGAAGACTTGAAGCCTTTGCTCTTGGAGAGAGCACCTTTGCTGACCAAAGACAGCGGAACACTGACGTGTTTGGCTCAAGTGCGAACGGAAAAAGCAGTCTGCGCTGAAGCTCTGCTTTTCACATGGTAGCGGAGCGTCCTGAAGAGACGTTCCAGGAAAAGCCATGGCCCAAGTTCCGGACGCGTCTACAGTGCCAGTGCCTGATGTGAGCCCTGAGGAAGAGGCTTTGCTGTTTGGGTCTTAAGGACAACCGACAGCACCTGCTGGAGGAGCGAACTCTTTTGCGTCGCCTCCGGCAACTCCAGCTCAAGCTCATGCTTCGCCTACTGGAAGCCAAGTGGGTGGAGTACAAGCTGGAAATGGCCTTGGTGAAGGCAACTTCCAAGCCATCTTCTTGGAGATGCTAAGGCAGCAAAGTCAGGCCAACCAGCAGAACCAGCAGTTGATAGCTGCCCTCATGAGAAGAATGGATTTGGAAGAGAAGCGTCGAAATGAGGCTGAAGAGAAGGCAGCGGAGACCGCACGTTTGGTTGCGGAGGCTGCAGCTAGAGCCAAGACGGAAGACCCGTTTGCAGCTGCACCGAGCACACCTTCTGTGCCTTTTGCAGGAGCTACCTCGTCTTCGAGCTCTGTTCGGAGCCCATTGGTGCAGAATAGGGCGGAGAAGTACCTTCCATCTCTGCCGATGCTAGAGCATCAAGGCATGAACAAGGGCAGGATGCGAGAAGTCGAGACGTGGCATGCCTACTTGGAGACACTGTCATCGTGGCTTGCTCTTCAAGATGAGTCTTTCGTTCGAGAGTTGCAACTCTGCGTCAAGCAAAAGAATGAGATCCTTCAGAAGGATTTGGCGGATGATGTTGCTGCTCGAAGTGCGAAGCTTTACTACTATCTCACCCAATCTCTCTCACGTTGGGAAAGAGGTCAGGAGTTGCTACGCTCGTGCTCGAAAAGGCAGTCTCTGAGTGCCTGCGGATACGAGGCGGTGAGGACTATCACGCAGCAATACAGCATCGTGTCTCGCATGGAAGCTGTCTACGTGCGGGAGCAGTGCCTCAAGTTGGCGACTACGTGCCAGCATCAACGACGGCCGACAGACCTCATCCGTCACTTGGAGGACGAGTTTTCTCGTGCCGAATCCAAGCTTGGGAACTTTCCAGAGTTGCGTCTCACGGAGGCTGACCGCTGCAGTGTTTTGCTGCAAGCTCTGAGCCAGGAGCTCAGACAGTACGTCGTTCTTCATGGAAAGAGCAACGACTGGACATCGCTGAGCGATAGCCTTCGGTACTATGAGGAGCAGCTTCGTCTGTGTGAGGGTCCGTTTTCCTCAAATCGGCAGATGTCAGGAAAGGGTGACAAGCTTTGTGACCACTGTGGACGAAAGGGACACCTGGCTAAGGACTGCTGGAGCCGTCAGCGTGAAGCCGGTGAAAAGGGCAAGAAGGGCGACAAGGGCAAGAAGGGCGATGGCAAGGGAGCGCAGAATCCCAAAGGAAAGCCACGCTCTCCAACGCCGAAAGGCGGAAAAGGCGGCAAAGACAAGGAGCAGAAGCCCGACAAGCCTGATAAAGGCAAGGGCAAAGGCAAGAAGAAGAAGAAGGCTAGAGCCCGGGCTATGGGAGAACCAGAGTCCGAGGCAGAGTCCGAGTCTTCGAGGACCTCCACCGTGATGGCGATGAGGTTTGCCAAGCCTTCTGCTGTACGAGAAGTACTGAGCCAGCCTGAGCCTGAGAAGCCTAAGCCCGTAGAGGCAGTCCCTAGACCGGTCGCTGTAGGGCCGAAAGTCACTGTAGATGAGAAGGTAGGCACCCTGACTGGAAAGAAGAATGTCCGCCTGGTTGGGGCGAAACGGGCCTGGTGGGCGATTAGCGGAAAGAAGCAGAAAGCTCCTAAACGCCCATCCAAGGGATCGGACATGGAGATCGACTCTCTTCCTGTTGACAAGGAACCCAGGAAAGACATTACTGCAGGACCAAGCATCCTGAAGAAGACTTCGAAAGAAGTGAAGAGTGATGAGAAGCCTGGAAAGGACGAGAAGTCTATCCGCCATGTCTTGACGGGAACGCCGTTTGAGTTCATGTTGCGCGGTTTGAGGGCTGAAGTTAGGAGTAGGTCCCTGGAAATTCCTGAAGAACACGCCGTTAGGAAACCGCACGACATGATCTGTACTAGAAAAACGGATGTCCTGAGTGGTGATAGGAGCCTGTGTTCCGAAAGTCTGGTTAGGAAACTGCATGATTCTGTTAGGAAATGCCATGTTTTTGTCAGACAGCAACATGATTTTTGGCAGCGGCATGTGTGCGCAGTTTGGAACGTGATGTTTTTGCTGGCATGTCTTGTGAAGGGGTTGTGTTTGAAAGGCTTTTCGCTTCTGATCGTCGGCAGTGAAGGTTTGAGGTGTGCCCTTAAAGGAAGTGAGTGCCCCAAAGCAACCGAGCCAAGCATGTTTTGCATTAGGAAGCCCAAAAGACCTCAAAAAGGCTTGAAGTGCGCATGTTTGTCCGCAGCCATTTTGCTTGTTTGCGTGTCTTGGTTTTCCCTGAGGGAAGGTGCTGAGCATGTCGGAACCTCGAATGGAGGTGGAGCAAGATTCCCACAACTCTCCAGCGGAGAGTACCGGGCAGGAGGTTGTGTTTTTGAATGCACCCGTAGAGCCTGCACCAGCAGAGGCGGCGCCAGCCGAGACTGCGGACGCAGGGGCTTCAGTTGCCCCCTTCAATGTTTTCTCGAGGCCTCCGAGTCAAGTTGCAGTACCTTCGCCTTCGGTGGCTGCATCAGAGACAGGAGAAACGGAAGAGGAGGAAGCATGGGGAAGATGGAGACAAGCAAGCCTTCGCAGCCATCAGACGAGCCGCCTCTGATAGTGAAGTGGAGAAGCATGCTGAGGGGGCCGCGCTACAGGTATTTTATGCAAGCGATACGACAACAGCGAGAAGATCTGATTGCATGTGGATACCCTGTGCCGGCAATTCCAGAGAACGACCTGGAACCTGCAGTTCCACTTATGTCTATCGGAGATGGACTCGTTTATTCTTCCCGCCAGGGGACCATCTTTGCGTCATTGACAGATGCTTTGATGACCGACGGCTACCTCCTCGAGGTTGGACAGAAGCTCCTTGGGCGGATCCAACGTCCAGACCCAGGTGTGGGACCGTGCCTGGGAACGGGGTGGTCCAAGAGGCTTCGCGATCACGATCCCGATCCTCTGGATGGAACGCCCTACATCAGCGCAGAGGTTGCGTGGGCGCTGTGGCTGCCCGAGTTTCCGGAAGCCCCGGATCATGGAGGCATCCTTCCGGTGAAGAGAAAGAGGGATTTTTCCCAGCTCACCGACGAGTTGTTGGACGAGCATACTACAAGGTTCGAAATCGCGGGTCAAGGCCGCACTCTTCATCAACGCGGCGTGCGTGCAAGGGACGCGCGTGCCGCTATCGGAGGGTATACTCCCGATCCAAGTCACCTACGCCACCAGAGTGGCGGGGACGTGGCTGCGCTGGGTTACATCAAGCGTATCCTCAAGGTCCTGACCGTTTACGAGGCCATGCCGGAAGCGGAACGCAACCTTTTGGCTGGAATGTATCCAGACGACGTCGAGCTCCAGCTCGAGTGGGTGCCAGGCTCAGCCATCAGGCATGGGTGGCGTGCGTTAATGGGGGCAATGGATCAGCGCACCCGGCGCTATATCGAGTTCGAAGCAGTGGTCCGAAAACGGGAGGACTTGCAGTCCGCTCGACCCAAGGTCAAGGCCAGAAGGACGGCTGCAGCTGCTTCCACAGATACTGGAGGTGGAATTGGAGCGATGGACGAAGGCTCGGAGACTGGAGCGATGAACGAAGGCTCGGAGCCTGGAGCGATGAACGAAGGCTCGGAGCCTGGAGCGATGAACGAAGGCTCGGAGACTGGAGCGATGAACGAAGGCTCGGAGACAGAGTCTGCAGAGTCATCCTCGGCAAGTTCGTCGGACGAATCGATTCCAATGGGGGAATACATGATGCAGAGCCGGACCAGAGTTTTGGCGCTCATCGAAGCGGAGAAAGCCTTGAAGGATGTGGGCTCCTCTGCGCCGCCCCCACCGTCTCCTATCATTATGGAGCCATCGCCGGACGGGTACAAGTTCGATCCAGCAGCCCTAGGAACCCCTCAGGGGGACACTGCGGCTCCTTCGACACCGGTGCCTCCTTCGCCTTCCGCAGTTTCATTGGCCCCTTTGGAGTCCTTCAAGTTCTTGGATGTTCCACCTGTTGCTCCTCCTGGTCCCTCGGGCCACAGTGTGGAGCCGATGGTGGTGGAAAAGGAGCGGGCCCCAGAAACTCCAGGACCCACGGCACCGGTTGGAGTTCCACAACGGAGAGTGTGCCGGAGACCCCTCCTCCAGGGGAGATTCCAGGTCCCGGTTATGTCCCGAAGGCAGCTCCTGGGGAAATTCCAGGTGCTCTGTCGAAATCCAACACAGCACCAGCGGGGGCTACACCGAAGGCCTGGTCTGTGGTCCCAACTTCCTCGCCTTTGACGGTTCCAGAAGCGCCAGTGGCTGTAGAGTCTTTGCCTGCAGTTCCAGAGCCAGCAACCGTGACAGCGGAGGAAGGGCCTACCTCCGAGACCGCTACATCATCCGCAGCGGGTGCCCTTCCGCCTCCGGGCGGCTTGGGTCAAACAGCCGAAGAGAGGGAGTTTGTGCTTCCTTCCCCTGGACAGAAGAAGTGAAGGCCTTAAAGGCTGTGCGGAATTCTTCCTTTTGTGGAATTGTTTCTGAACGCGCCGATCGCATGTCTTGCGCGTTGGAAAAACACCGTGTCTTTCAGGCTTGTTTGGATTTGGAAAGAAGCATGAGTGAAGCAGTTGAACAGACATGTTGCTGTGTGAGACTTGCTTGGTTAGGAGTGTGCGAGCTTGAAGGTCCCTTGAAGAGAAGCCCAAAAGAACTTCGATCTTCTCGGCAGTACCCTCAAAGATCCGAAATACCCTCAAGTCCGCGTTTAACTAGCCCGAAAGAACGTCGATCTTCTAAGCAGTACCCTCAAAGATCCGAAATACCCTCAAGTGTGAACCTCAGAAGCGCCACGAACCCAAACCTCCTGAACATGAGTCATGACAGACCCCTGCCGGCCAGGAGTGCTTTGTTTTGCATGCCAGGAGAAGCATTGGATGTTTTCGCTTGCTTGGCGATCTATGTGATAGCAAGTCTCTTGGGGGGTTCGTTCTGGTTAGGGTTTCGATTCTTGAAGATGTGTTTGAAAAAGTTTCGAGGAGTTGGTGACTACCCTCAACTTGTATCCCGAAAGTACCGTTTACACCATCGTCGTAAAGGAGTCCGAGTGCGAATCAAGACTCGTTTCTGTTATGTTCGAGTTGATGTAGAACGTACTCTGGTCTTTAGCAGGCACGTTGTGAAACCAACTTGGAGCTCAGGTTTTAAAGCCTCTTTGAAGTTCGCATGTAAGGCCATGTGCTTGGGCCTTTGTCTCGACAGGAACTTGTGGAGCTTGTTGGTGTGCATGGCATGGTGTTGTGCTTGGAGTGTGTGTGGTTGTTGTTTGTTGAGAAGAAAGGGCGATGATGAAAAAGGGAGCAGATCCACTTCTGAGCACAGCCACTTGAGAGTTGTGCGTGGACTGCCCCTCCCCGGTAAGGGGACGCAAGCTGAGCCCTTAGAACTCGATAGTGACATGCCACGTTCTTCAGAGAGAGAAGAGAGAGGAGAGAAAGAGAGTCCGCTTCCGAAACCTCAAGGTGTTGAACCACCGAAACCCCCGGAACCGCCTGGAGGTGCAGAAGTTTCAGAGAGGATACCTCTGCGAAGTGTGGCTTTGCAAGTGCATAGATCCAGAGGTCATTTTCCTTATGATGTGAACTGTGAGGCCTGCACCTCGAGTAAAGGGAAGGTTCCTGCGAGACGCTTGCGAAGGCGTTTGCAACGCGAGGACCAGACGATTGGAATGGATTTCTACTACTTTGGTCGTCTTCGTGTGCTGCTTCTTGCACACTGTTCTTCGAACTATACCACGGCCATCCCGGCCATGAATTTGGATGATCCGGATCTGTTTTACAACATTGGACGAGTGATTCGCGAAATGGGTCTTGTGAATAAAATGGTCACAGTGAGATGTGATCAGGAGTCGGCTTTGATGTCTTTAGCCGAAAAATTGACTACCCGTACAGGTGATGTAGCTGTTTCTGGCGTCATTGTGGACGTCGTGCCCGGGTATCGCCCTCAGTCAAAAGGCGCTATTGAAAGACAAGTAGAAACTATGAAGCAGGGATTTTGGGCAGTGTGGTTAGACTTGGAGAGAGAAGTTGCGCGGAATTCCGCGCCGGAAGACTGGAACAAGAAGCTTCCGCTGGGAGGAATGCTCTGGCAAGCTTGTGTCCTTTACAGTGCCAGGTGCTACAACCTCTGGAGCTTTAGTCACCAGGACGTGACTACGCCCATTGACCGGCTGCACGAGGAGATTGTGCATCGTACGAGGACCCTGCCGTTTGGATGTCTTGTCTACGCTAAAGTAGGGGGCTCAAAAGCGCATCAACAGAAGTACAGGGGAAAGAAAACAGTGAAAGCTGTGTATCTAGGGCCTAAAGAGCCTAGAGGGGGCGGTATCTTTGCTGCTCCATTGGGTCAGACTGAGATCGATATCTTTCCTGTCTGTAGGGCCTTAGAAGGAGCGAAAGGTGAGCCTGTCTACGACGTAGGGGCCATACACGCTCTGTCTACTTCACAGCCTCTCGTTTTAGACCCAGTGGATCCTGAAAGGCCCATCATGTTTGAGCCACCACCTGATCCGGTGAAGTCAGAAGACCCTGACCCGGGGTTTGAAAACGAAGATGAAGAAATGGTACCAGATGATCCTGATCCTCTGAATGATATTCCGTCTTACGTGGAACCCACAGATGATGAGGGGGAAGGCGGACTTGGGTCACCGGAAATGCAGCCGGATGACCTGGAGGACATGGAAATTGACTGGCTAACTAACCATCTGTTAGAGTCTTTGTTCAAAGGACCGGACATTCTGGCCACGTCTAAAGAAGTAGCTGATTCGTTTACTCTCAAATTCGGAGGGAGTAAGATCAAGTGCCAAGTACCCCGAAACGCCGTTTCTGAGACCTCAGGTGAACAGTTAGACCCTGAACTTTTGTATGCTTCAATGAAGTTGGAGCTTGAGGAACTCGAGTCTTTTGGAGTAGGAAAAGTGATCTCTGAAGCTGAGGCCCGTAAGTCGGCGCGAGAGAGCGGTCGGAGGGTTCTCACGAGCAGGTGGGTTAACACGATCAAACGTAAAGGTCTTTACCGTTCCCGCCTCGTTGTTAGAGATTACGCTTCAATGGGAGGCACGACGCTTTCAGAAGGCATCTACAGCCCGACTACGAGTTTAGAGGGTTTAAGGCTTCTTTTGGCATTGCTTTGCAAGAAGGGCTCCGTGTTGAGCTGTGACGTGAGCGTGGCTTTCATGCACGCTGCAGTGTCAAGGCCAGAGTACGTAGAGCTCCCAAACAACGTGAGTATTGCGGACTCTTCTGTTCCCCAAAAGGCAGGAAACAAGAAGGTGTATCTTCGTCTTCACAAAGCGATGAACGGATTGAGATCGGCACCGCTTTCTTGGTATAAGGAACTGAGTTCGTACTTGGAGAAGAGCGGATTCAGTCCAAGCCTGGACCCTACGATATACCGGAGGAAGACGTCTAAGGGTCTGACGTTGGTGCTGTTCTATGTAGACGATTTGCTGATCTACTCCGAGGACCCCTCGGAAGGGAAGAGAGTTTTCGAAGGACTGCAGAAACGCTACAAGCTGAAACTGACTGGAGAGCTTCCTGAACATGGTGCGGGGGAAGTTTCCTTCCTAGGTAGGAGAATCTTCCGACGTTCCGGAGACAAGCGCGTCTATTTCGGGCTAGATGGCAAGTACCTAGACGCGTGCTGCTCTGAATACAACATAACCAAACCGAGCCCCAAACTCCCGTCGCTTGAAAAGCGATACTCCGACCTGGTTCGTAAAGGGCAAACTGAAAAAATCAGCCCAGCTGCGCGCGAAAAGTATCGTAGAACCCTTGGTCGGCTTGCATGGGCAGCCCTCTCCCGACCGGACCTGCAATTCTGTTGCGGGTTTTTGGGCCGGCACCAGGCGGCGCCAGACGAGGCTGCTGAAACGTGCATGAGAGACGTCCTTAAGTGGATAAAAGGGCTTCCGCACCGAGTACAGGTGTTTCCATCAACTCGGGAGATCCTGGAAGATGATGCGGATCCTCAGGCGGTTTCCTGTTTTACAGACGCAAGCTGGAGTTTGAATTCGGTTAGTGGTGGTGTGATTACTTGGGAAAACTGCTGTCTGAAGACTTTTAGCAGAAAGCAATCAACCACAGCCCTGTCCAGCGCTGAGAGTGAGCTTGCGGCGCTCACGGAGATAGCCAGGGAAGGTCTCTACATTGCCCTCTTGACAGAGACCATCTTGGAAGGCATTCCGCAGGACAGGGAGACCGGTTACTATCTCTTGAAGGGTTACTCTGACTCTGAAAGCGCGGTTTGTATCTCAAAAATGGGAACATTGCTGAGGAAAGTTCGCCATATAGAGTTAAGAGCCGCATTTCTCCAGGAACTTGTGGATCGTGGAAGGTTCACGATTGAGCACATACCGGGGGCCATCAACCCCGCAGATGCTCTAACGAAAAGTCCCACGAATGACAGTTTGGCAAGCTTGTGTGAGGCTTGTGGCTTGACCACCGAGCCGGTTGGCTGGGAAGAAAAAGCTTCAGGCACTAGCGTTTCGGTTACCTTTAAAGAGCCCAATACCTGCGACGAAGTGCTCGCAATTCCGAGCTCGTGGAAGGACGAGGCCTACAGAGTTGCTTCCGGGGAGGCCACCATGGTTGTCTTGGAACTCTGTTGCGAAGAGGAAAGCGCGATAGCCCAAGCTTGTAAGCGGGAACGTGACATCGCGTACTTTGGAATCACCAAGAAGCTAGACTTGCTGAGTAGAGAAGCTTCTTTGTTGCTAAAAGGGATTCTGGAAAAGATGGCTTCTAACGAAAGAATCTACGTGTACGCACATTTGTCTACGCCGTGCAGCGCAGGTAGTGGCCTTAGGCACCTGCGTTTCTCAAAGGACGTGAAGAACCGGGCGAGATGGAGAGCTAGTCTGGAGGTACACAAGAAGTCTTGGAGACGCATACGAGCAGTTTTCCAGGACTATGCTGGCCACGAGAGGCTCCTCCTCTCCCACGAATGGCCTAAAGGGTCTGGCCTTTGGGGAGAAACAGTCTACAAGTCGACAGCGAAAAGACTGGGACTCGAGCACGAGTGTTTGGTAGACCGGTGCTGTTTCGAGGAAGCTGGCAACCGTATCCTGAAGCATTGGTGGTTCGTCAGTTCGGATTCAAGTTTTATCTGGACTTTATCCTCTTGTGTTTGCCCAGGCAACCACGAGCATGCGAGTGCTACTAGCATAGCAGCGACAGGTGTCTATCCGCAGGGCTTAGGCCGCTTCCTGGTGAAAGAAGCCAGGAGAAGTCTCGAAAGACGAAAGAAGGACTGACCGCGCAATAGGCATGAGGGGGTGTGAAAATATGACATTTGCTGTCAACGAGCCTCGGGGCCCAAATCTGCGTGGGGGAACAGGCCCTTGGTCCAATCCCAGCTTGACCAACTTGTGCCATGGCTGAGCTTAGGGTGTTCGCCTCCCTTTTGTCTCCACAGTCAGGAACCGCTGCTCACCGTC